AATGAGTCCTTTTAGGGTTTGAAGAGGTAGCCATGCTATGGAACAGTACAATTTCTCTGTGAAATATCATATTGTCATCCTTTTACTTTTGCAAGTACATGATTATGCAATCAGTTCACTGACCATGAGAGTTTTGTGGCTAAATATCAAACATGGGCTGTAAAAATTCACCTTATATAGCCCTTTATTTTAAAACGGAAGGCTGCAAATAGCTTGAAGTCCAGAGAAGGGAAACCTGCAATTCCTCAGACATCCTGAGTAATTGTAGGCATTCTAATTGAAAAGTTCCTCATCCAATGTGACCTTGCTTGAATTAATTGGTTTTGGAATTAGTGCTGAATAGTTCAGTAAATGTGGAATTCTCTGAAGTTTACTCATTGCCAAGCAGAGTCTAGCTGACTGAGAAAAGGAAAATGGTCCAAAGACAGTTTTCAAAAAGCAAAATGACCCAAAGTCACTTCACCTTCCTCAGTGAAGTCTTTAGCAAGCATGAGCTTAGTTGATCTACCTACTGTGAGTCAGATAAAAGGAGGTGCATGCACAATTGAGAGAATCATTAGGATTGGAAAAATCTGACAGATTGCATTATGCTACACTTTCTAGAAGAATTTAAAAAACGTATGCAGCATACTGGAAACTTAAGACTAGTAACTCTGTTCCCTAAATCCTGTAATGCTTTATGCTAAATTTCTCTCAAGAAATTAGCAGGAAATCTCTGAAGTGGAAGAAATGGCTTTGGACTGATATTTAACATAGGACAGAAATCCAGGATGCCTTTATATACCCTGACCAAGTCCCCATTGTGGTGAAGTCAATAGCTAGGTGGACTTTTTTATCATTAATCCATTAATTTATCATTAATGCAGTCAAAAACACTGTTGTAGCCAAAAAACTGGGTTAGAGGAACATGTGGAGTAGTTTTAAAAAAATGACCCTCTCTTTTATTCATCAGACTGAAAGCCAAAGAACTTAACAGAGCTTGCTTAGTCTGTGCTTGTTGCTGGAGAAGGATTTCAGGCATCTAATTGAGTCACATATTTAGTATTTCTGGCTAGCAGCTTTGATTTGAATATAAAAGCAATATACACGGAGAAGCTATTCCACCTGATGGGTAAACATCCTGAGCAGTAGTCCAGAGGAATGCAGAGGAAATGTTTCTCTCAAAAAAGATGAAAGTGTTTTATACAATGTATATAATATCATCAGGAGAAAATATGTGTGCTTCCACATCTGAAGAGATGATAAGCTGGTGTTCAAGTTGGCCAGAAGTGCAAACACCAAGTTAATCTCTTTCTCTCTCAGGGAATGGATTTTAGCATGTTCTTTTGCTTCACAAGAGACCATCCTAACTGCTACCTCCATTACCATTGCAATTCAGTGTTTCTGCATTCACAGTAAAACCAAACTAAAAAAAAACCTGTGAGGAAACATCCTGAAATAATCTATAACGTAAGGAATGATTAATATAAAGGACTCTCTCTTCATACAGAACTCGTAGCAAAAATAAGTTGACCTTCTCAGACGAAGGGGGAACGAGGGAGTGATTAATACCTTCCAGATGTCCTTGTTGGTTATGTTTTCGTAGTACAGTCTAGTGCTGTACCACAGTATCTGAACTGCTTTTTAGTGAGGAAGGCAGGGGTTGCAGGTGGGACAAAGTGCTACTGCTCCCGACCTACTGCCCTCCATTTCCCAGCAGGACTCTCCAGCCAGGGCTCTCTCTGGCTGAGCTGGTGGTGGCACAGCAGCCTGTGCCTCCCACAGCACTGTGCCACACTGCCTGGGTGTCTGCTGAGCTGACAGTGGGATGATGTGCTTACACAACAGGGAACCAGGCTGGTACTACCTGGGAAAGTGACCCAGTTTCTATGAACTCTTCCTGAAAAGTGAAACATTGCTTGCAGGAGTAGCAGAGCTGTAAGTCAGTAGCACTTAGGATGACTACTGCGCTCAGTGACTTCCCATTCAGGAAATTACATGTTGTCTGTGATGGAGGAACGAGGTGGGAGGCAGCAGCAGCTGGAGCTGCATTTTGTCAGCTGTGCATCTGACAGCTGTGACTGGGTACGGTTCAGAGGCAGAAGGCATATGCTGCCATTCAGGGCTTTTAACATCAAGTATCTTTTACTGGGTTCATTATCTCCTCACAAAATGGAACGTGATGGCTAGAAATGCCCTAACCTCAACAACAGAAGAGTCTCAGCAGGGCTCACACAGAGGCCAGGTCTAGCTTACCACAGGCCAGCAATGCTGGCTGTCTCCTTTGCACTGTCACTTGTCTCATTCATTTTCACCCGGGGCAGCAGGGAGTGCCCTAGGCCTTGTGACAATCTCCCTCAGAGACTGTCACAATCCCACAGAGATTTAATTATTGGTTCCACAAATAATTAAACTACATGGATCCATGCAGAAGTTATGTGCTCTTTAGTATCAATGTTTCTCAGTAAAGATGTATGCATTTAAGAAGAGCCCAATACTGGTAGTCCTTTTTCCATCTATTAGAAAATCCTGTTAGCATAGTCCATCAATTATGTCTCGCATAATATTCGTTATAGTTGCAAGTTGTAACTGCATCTAGGAAGATTTTAGGAAAAGGCATGCTGTAAATATATATTCTATAGTTTTGTAATTGAATTCATAGAGAACTTTATTTTAGGTTTACATATTTAGTTACAATAATTAATTTTTAGCTAAGCCTGTGTGTTATGAATCAATTGCTTTATGACAATGATAAGAGGCAGTCATGACCCATATAACAAAAATTGAAAGAAATAATTAAAATGAAATGACTGTTAATTTTCTAAAAAATTCCTTTAGTTTCTTTGCCAAGAAGAATTTGTTACATCGGAAGCAAAAAAGAAGTTAATGTAATTTTCCTAAGAAATGAAAGACTGAATTGAAAATAAAAACTGATGTAAATGTCTGACCTTTCTGTCATAAATTTGAATGTCAAATATCTGCCAACACCATTTTCACATTTCAGGAACTGCTTCTTTTACAATTTTCAGAAAGGGAAGAAGAAGTAAGATTTTTGTAAAAATTATAGTAAGGATAGGAAATGCAGCATCTCCCTCCAAAGTGACAAGGGCTGAAGAGAGAAAAATGAAAACATTACACCTAGGATTTTAAAAACATGAACTTATTTGACAACTGAAATTTCTTTTAAAAGTGAATCATATAATCCTTACTCTTCTTGTATATCAGATAATTATTTCTGATTTGCATATTTACCCTACATAGAAGCCGAGGACAAATTTGCTCCGTGGCACAGAGATGACATTTTAATTTCAGAATTACACTCAGACCTGTATACAGTCCATAGGTTTGGAAATAATTTTGGAACAGGAAAACATCTCAAGTCATCTTTTTTCCCCAGATTGTCAATATCACCTCACAATAAAAAATAAGAAAAATTACATTGTGGGCAAGAAAATCTATCTGATAAATCATTTCTGAAATGAGGGACAAGTTAGGACTGAAATGAATGTTAAAATTTTCAAAACCACAGTATTTAACCAGCAGACTACTAATCAATGCAAAACCTTTCTCATAAGCATGAAAACACTGTGATGTAAACATACTTACTACCTAATCATGTATTTCCCCAAATATATTCTATTATTCAGCTTTTTCACTCTGAGGAAAATAAAAAAAGACCTTTTCAGTGAGAATTTTGGGCTTATATAGCATATAAGCTCAAGACAGTTTAGATAAAAATCAGTCCACTTGGTAACCAAGGTAATTCTGAAAATGTTCCAATTCAGTACTTGGAGCAGATTCCAAAATAAGCATCTGTTTGTGTCTTTTGCCATGGAAGGTGTCTTCATAATGATCACACAGTAATATATGATAAAGATGAAAATTAGTCTCTGGGGTAGCAATAAGATCTCATTTGATATCGTGATAATATCTCTATTAATCAAAGAACAGAAACATCCCTAGAGGGGGCACTGCAAGCAACGATTTCTAGTTTTCCACAGAGTTTTATATAACAATTAAAATACTATGCTTAAGATAAGATAACATATTACGCTACTTCTGGGATGCAAATGTATATTATTCAACCATGGCTTCCTTTCAAAGCTCCCACTCTTCTGTTATACAACAGAGATATCGAGCAAATAATTGAAAAAGTATTTTTATATGATACATTTTGAACTCATTTTTACCTTTTGTAGATGGGTAGCCTGCACTACAGCTTAACAGTATGTGGCATTAACATATTTGGAAACGTAGAAGTGAATTTGGATCCATTTACAAAGAATACATACTTCCTATAGATTTCATTTTAATTATTGAACAGCTCTCTGTGCAATCTTTCATCTATCAATACATGCTAAAATTCTAAAATGGATAAAGCTATTGTCTTTGCTAAGCAAGTAATAAAATGAAAGAAAGTTGCCAGAAGAATGTTAAAAGATCTTAACAGTGAGTGTTATAACAATGAATGTGAATGGATAATGAGTAACAGCAGATGTGTGAAGCTTGCCAAAATGCTTACAATTCAGTGCACTGGTACAATTGGTTACACCTTCCCTAAAAGTAATTAATTACCTTTTACATTAACTGCCTTCGAGTATTTAGACCAAATATATTTAATCTTACTTCTCTTTTTTCTTGGTACTTTAACAACATAAATTAAAATTAGCACAACTAATCTCATCTAGAAGATCAATTACTTGATAGGTAAACCACATAAATGTCTAACAATATTATACCATTTACACTTGCATTTTTATATTTGCACCTAGATAACTATATGTATGTGAAATGGAGGTCAAAAATCCAGTTCCATTACATTATGCATGCAGGATTCTTCCCAGAAAGAGTTCATTCCAAGATGTAGCCACAATAGTACAGAATTAAAAACATAAGAATACTGGCATCAAACATTATCTCTACACAGCAAAAATGCTTCTAGTGTCAAACCTCCCTTTAGAAAACAAGCTGATATGTTTTTACATGCAGAGCAGTGAAAGGGTCAGTGGAGACTCGCTTACCTGTGGTTGACCTGATGGTAGAGGTGATGTTGGAGGATGTCAGCGCAGGTATACATTCATCATCTTGGGAATAGCCTGCCTGAATGGCACGCAAGTAACTGTGGCTTCTTGTTCGGAAACATCCAGGGAGGTCAAGGGCATCCATTGCCTGAGCTTCAACTTCACTAAACACTGATTCACACACCGATTCAAATTGCCCATTAACCTCTGCTTCACTCATCTGAATAAACAACAACAATGCATTTGATTTTTGACTTGCTTTTTGTGATCATCACGGCCTCAACATCTCAAATGGACACCTGTACATTGATGAAGAACTGTTTTAGCAAATAGTTAAAATGTAGTAATCCCTTCTGATCACATTCACATTGTTCAACTTAGATCAGCTGTTAACACATCTGTATAAAATACATCATACATTAATGTTCCGTTTAATATCTTTTGGCATAGTTGAGAAGGGACCCAAGCCAAACTCACTTCCTGGGTAACTGGTTTAGCCATTCACTTCCATGGAAGAACCTTTTCTTCAGCAGCATTATATAAAATCTGACACTTCTACCAGCAGGAGTTCTGTGGTGCCCTGCCTGGCAGAGCAGCCCAGCTGTGCCTCCTGCACCCTCTACCCTCTGTCCCCTTGGGGTATTTCAGCAGCAGCCTCCAGCTCCACATTGCCCCTCCTTGGGGTATTTCAGCAGCACTTAGGCAGGACCCAGCATCTAACTGCTAGCCCTGCCTTGCAGGTTGGGCTGATGCAACACTGTGCCTTTTTTAGAGGTAATTTTCATGATAAACAGGGCTTAGGCAGAGTGGCCAGGCTTGGGGAGCCTCTTGGTAGGTAACCATATGTTGCTGTTTTGAGGATTAATGCCTTAATTCTACCTACAGCGTTTTTCAAATTTCACTGAAAGCAGCCCTAACTACTTGTAAATGTACTTGAATAATTCAAATGTTTATCCAAAATCAGATAAGAAGTTAACACTGGACAGATAATTGCATGACTTTCTGAAAATAATTTTTTTCTAAAAAGTGAGAACTAGATATCAGAATCAATATGAATAATTTTACAAGTTAAATTTATGGAATCACTAAATGGCACATCCAGTTCATATCAATTTTCCTATACAGCTGCTAAGTGCTCCTAGTGCTTTATTCATTATGGAAAGAGAGTCCCATCAAATGTTTTATGGTTTTGGTTAAGTAAATGGAAATTTTATAGAGAAGTTCTGATGATTATGAATAACTGATAATTTTGTGTACGACATTTTGACTACTGAAAACCTTCTGAAAAGAATTAAATTACTCTTCATAAAATTTGCTTTTAATAAAGTTAAGTAGACTAATGCAATCTCAAAGAGATGAAAAATCTTACTCTGAACTATTTCACAATATTGTTGATCAGGAAATATACGGTAATTTAGTCCATAAACTCAGTAAGTCTTAGCCACTTATTTCAATCTAAGGTTATTGACAATAGAAAATTAAAAATTTTCAATCTGAAATTAAAAATATATACCATGGAATTCAGCATTCTTCTTGAGTCTACCCTTTGTCAGGTGTGAAAAGGAAGGATCTCACAACAAAAAGAGAGTTTGTAATCTCACAAATTATCCAAACTGCTATTATGTATATGGAACAAGAGGAGGATGGTGTCATGGAAAAAGAACAGGTTCAGAACTTGATATTTTAATACATTTGCTTGGGGTAATATCTATTAAATGCATTTATTAATGGTCTGGAAACAGCTGGACTGTGAGGTAGGAAGTGTGTGGCTAACACAAAGTTGCATAGGTTAGTGAACATTGAAAAAGCAATGAACTATACCCAGCAGGTTAGTTAATATGGCCAATTGAGCAATCTACCTGCAAATGAAATCTATTGTGGACACCTTCCAGGTAATGCACACTGAAATGAAGAATTTTAACCACTACTGAAACCAATTAATCATCATGGACAGCTCGGTGAATATCTCTGTGCACAGACGTGGTCAAAGAGGCAGAAGATGTTAGACTAGTTCTGTGTGAGAACATTGTTAGGTGGCAGCTGGCAGCATTTGCTTTGAATACAGGATTTAATACCCATGAAGTTTTCTCAAAAGCAGAGTGTAATAAAAAGACAAAATAACCAATAAGCAGTGTAATAAAAAACAAGGCATCAGAATGACGGGAACAGTTTTCACAAGGGAGTTGTGAAAAAATAGTGAAAGGTTTGGAAAATAACTGACTGTTTCTAATTCTAATGTGTGCTGCATGAGATTAAATTTAGAATTACCTCACACAAATGAAGGAATTTGACTGAAGGGCATTAGTCAGGTGACTAGCCCTGCCCAGCTCTCTACAGTCAGTGGAGACTGACAAGCATTTCCAGAGGGCTCTCAGCCCACTCGGGATGTTCACTGTCCTGGAAGAAGCTCTTTTGCTCCATTAACTACAGAGGAAGCTTTAGTTGTTGCCTCAGTTAAAAGCCTCAATTTAGATGAGTTGAATCCAGGCCTGAATAGCCATGCAGCACAAATCGAATATGAATGAATATGAAATTGCTTTAAAAAGATTTCTCTTTTAACATAACCATTGTGTATGTATACCCTTAGGTGGTTCCCTAAATGGTCAAAGAAATATTAAGACATGGTAATGTCTGAGAGGTGGGCAGGGCCCATCTGTCATGAAACAACACAGGGAAGAAAAGTCAGGACCAATAAACATTAGAAACATTGGGAATTTTATGTGAAGTCCTCTGCTACATAGAACTTGTACATAATTCTTATGGCCTATTGCACTTCAGGTGTGATTCAGACCTCATTTTACCACAAGTTAGTACTAACTAACAGACATAAAACCAGTAGGGAGGAAAACTGTACGTTTTCAGGAGTCCAGATACATAGAATAGTTGATGGGACTTATTCTTTTACCCAAGAAGAGTGAGGGTTTTGACTTAGGATGAAACACTTTTGGAGCATAATTTTTTTCAATCTATCTCTTAATCTGTCAACTCACATTTACTGAAATCAGAGCAGGTATTTTCAGATGATGAGTGTTGTAGGAGTGTACTCCTCATGTTCAGTCTGAATCTTCTTAACATTTAAATATTTAATATGGAATGAAAATAAAAAACACTAGTATTTATATTTTTAATGAAAAATAAATGAAAAATATAATGTTTGATACTGTTTCTTTGCCCCTAGCATTCAGTATTCTTCTTGAAATTTTGAGTTACATTCCTCAGAACTGAATTACTTTCACAATTCACATCCTCAATTTGACATTGATTAAAAAAATGCAAAAAACCTAAAACCATCCACTAGTTACAACTCTCACATCTGCAGTTAACCTATAAGAAAAATTATAACAAGAATTTCCCACCTGACTAACACAGCTGGCCTGACTGAGCGTGCTCACTGCTCTCATATAGCTCTGATTCCTTGAGCGAAACTTTGGGGAATTGTAGTTTGCAGAGGGATCCAGGTTGTGACCCCCAGGCACGTCACTTGCAGTTTGAAGGTAGCTCTGACTACAAAGGAGAAAGGAAGAAAAAAAGGAAAGGGTGTAAAACTACAGATGGTATCAATTAGGACACTAAAGGCAGTAATTTGTATGAGACACACAAACCCACTCCCCTGGGTCCAAACCTTACTCTTTATAAAGCATCATAGATCTGTTGTAGCCAAATGTCTTCACACAGGCAGAGAATCTGTCTGTGGCTCTGCTACCTAGATGGTATGAAATTTTAACTCTTTGCTCTATTTCAACATCATCAATCCTCCTGGCTATTAATGTTGAACTTTACTAAAAGACAAGGTCCTTTTTATCTTCAAAGAATTAATACAGTTTTACAAAAGATTAAAATATCCCATGTTCAGCTAAAAATATAAATTAATAAGGTGTTCAGAGCAACTGCATGAAGCTCTAGAAATTGTTTTATTACAACATGTTTCCCATTTTGCAGGACTGTGACTGTAAAACCACATTAAGCCCTCTTGAGTATGCTTTCACACCAAGAGTATGCTAGTCTTTTCACACCGCAACAAGTCTCCATGTTTTGTTTAAAATATGTTGATAACATTCCAGAAAAATAAATAAACCTGAGCAAAGTGCAGTACTTTGCCTTGAATACCAAAAATTAAACTCTGGCACACCAGAGTTCTCAGAACCTCTGTAAATCAGATTTTAGAACTTTCCCCTGCTCATCAGTGCAGAAATGAATTAATGTCCCAGATGATATTTGCTTTCATGTGGTAAATAGGCAGCTTTTATATTTATTCCTTAAAGGTAGCTTGAAAAAAACCAGTTTCTGGAAAGTAGATCTGTGCCAGCTGAATGCCTTATTGGCCATACAGTTACTGCATGCTGAGCTGGCAGAGTTGGTCAGTCCAGCAGTGTCTGTGGCATGTGCCTGGGCTGTTGGAAACTTCCCTGTGAAGGGTGAAATTTCCTCTCTGGAAGAACCAGACCTCTCAGCAAGTGAGAAAGCCACAGGTTCAATACCCGTTGCAAGATGAAGCACAAACCAGGGTTTTGTTTCTCAGACCATATTTATCAAACATTGAGCATGACCATAGGCTGGTGCTTGAGGAAGACCTCAGACTTCCTCATGGAGCAGACAAAACCTGAGACTGGATGCAGTCCCTGAGGAGCACTCTGGGGAGGAATCTCAAACATTTTATCATGGCTTTGCCTAGAAAAGCAGAGTCCTGACATCCATCTCCCTGTGTGGCCCTGTCCTTTGATGTCTGATGTGTGATGATCCAGTATTCCCTCACACCACCAAGTGCAAGAGCAGGTGGGATTTAGAGACCCTCATACTTGTGAGGTCTGTTCTCAGGCATTTCCATATGTTCTTCCATCTCAGGGTCAACAGACATAGCCCTGCTTCCTCAGTGCATCTGCCTTAGATCCACAGAATCATTTACTTTGGGAAAGGCCCCGAGATCATTGAACCCAGCTGTTAACTGAATGCTGCCAAGTCCACAGTTAAATCTTGTCCCTAAGTAGCACATCTATATATCCTTTAAACACCCCCAGGGATGTTGACTCAGCCATTTCCCCGGGCAGTCTGTTCCAATGCCTGATAATAATTTCAATGAAGAAATTTTTCCTAATAAATTTGCTGGAGCATATCCAAGGAAAAGTAACAGATCTGGTGAAGCATAAAAAAAGGATACATTTTGTTTTCATCTTTGTTCAAGTGAGACATTCTTTCAAAATATCAAGAAATTTCCCTGGAGAAAAAACCTATTCATTTCTTCCTGTCTATTCATTTCCTTCTATGGAGTGCCTCTGTAACCTCATGCCAGAGATAAACTATGTAGAAACTATGCTGTAACTGCTAAAACCAAAATGAAAATGTATGAGATTATCACAGGTATGTGCTCAGAGGTTAATTAAGTCATTACAGTCAAAGTGATTCTATGATTAGGATAACAGGCTGATAGTGGGTCTAATTTGGTTCTAGATGATAAAAACAAGAGCATTTTTTTTGTTCCCATAGGTATGAAGACAAATATAATAGATTAGGTGAAGGTGTAAAGCCTCACTACCCACATTTAGTTGCTGGATGTAACTAAACTCCTTTCCTCTATAGATAGACTGATGATTGACAGCTGCTCTGTTTAATTCTGATTTTTGTATATGCTTTACTTACTCATGGAATCACAGAATGGCTCGTGTTGGAAGGGACCTTAAAGATCATGTAGTTCCAAATTCTTGCCAAAGGCAAGGACATCTCTCACTAGACCACATTGCTCAGAGCCCCATCCAACATGGCCCTGAACACATCCAGGGATGGAGCATCCACAGCTTCTCTGGGCAACCTGTGCCAGAGCCTTGCCACCCTCACTGCCAAGAATTTATTCATAAGATTTAACCTGAATCTCTAAGTTCAAAAGTGATCCCCTCTTGTTGTATCACTGCCTGTCCAGGTAAAAATTCACTTTCTCTCTTCTTGAAAAGCCCCGTTTAGGTACTGGGAGGTTGCAAAGGAGCCTTCTCTTCTCCAGGCTGAACATCCCCAGATCTGTCAGCCTGTCTTCACAGGAGAGGTGCTCCAGCTCTCTGATCATCTTCTGCCCTCCTGCAGACCTGATCTAAGGGATTCACATCTTTCTTGTGCTGAGGACTCCTGACCTGGACACACTGCTCCAGGTGGGGTCTCACGAGGGCAGAGAGACTTTTAATCTGTCTGACATTGTCAACAATCTCTTTGATGTTGTTACATTAGTATTTTTCAAAACAAATAAGTCTCTCCTGGGTGTTCTGTTTGTCATCATCAGGTGGCAAAATCTAGATTCTGAGTTCATAAACAGTTTGTTAAAGAGATGTTTGAGATTTCAATAAAACACAGGCCACATTAAGAAAAAGATAGAAGGAATAGAATTAAATTAGAAATTACTGTATTAAACACTCAATTAATTTAAACCTCATTCTAATAACGATCCCATTTGCTAAATAATGCTTAAAAACCTGGTTTTTAATCAATGACATTCTGGTTCCTTCTTAGGTATTTCTATCATTAAACACCGCCAACAATTTTTACAGCAATAATTTCTTATGGAAAGAAGCCCAGTATTCCATAGTACTTCTAAGCAGCTGAGTTTTGATGAATGAGTTTGGATATTACCTGATAGTTAAATAATTTTGCATTAATCAGAGGAGATTAATTGACTCATGGAACTGTAGCGAAGTAAAAGAAATGTTACCTATAAAACCTATAAAAGGCTATAAAAGCAAGTTTGCACTCATTTCACTAGCACTTTGAAATTTTCCTGATAAATAGAAATTATTAGTTTTTATTTCTAAGATATAATCTCAAAGTTATCCTCTAGAATAATTGTGTTGATGCATGGTGAGAATTATGCTATAAACATGGTCCAGGAAGTGAAATACCAGTTACATGGGGAAGTTGCTCTCAAATGTCACAATCTGTTGCTCAAGAAAATCTCATGCTTGTCAACAATGCTAGAAAACACAATCAACATCTGGCCTCAGTAAATGCTGACTTTTTAAATACATCCACTCTATCTATCAGCTTAGGATTAAAATTCTTGACCTTCATTTCAAGAACATCAAAGTTCTTTTGCTTTGAAAAAAGAAAATATTTTATTTTATGTTCTGTAGCAGCATAGATGATCTTATATCTCAGCTAATCACTGCAGAAGGGCAAGACAAGTATGTGCAAATGAGATGTTTTAACAGATCATCTCCAGGACCACTAAAAAAGTATACATAGTAATATCGAAGAGGTGGCTCTAAAATCAGTAGTATGGAGAAGGAGGAATAGGGCAAGACTAACAGGAAAAATTAAATTAGTATGTCTGCTCTCTTCCCACTTGCTTTTCTGAATAGACTAGATTTTAGGAAGAGATGTCCTTTAAAAGCTTTTTTGCCCCCAAGGGTTACTATCCATTTTCCATTGGCTTCAGAGGAAGTTCATGGCAGCCAGGCAGAGGTCTTAAATTTAATGAGAAATATCTTATCTGAAAGAAAGGCTCAAAGCCTAAAGAAATTTTGGGGAAAAAAGCACTTCCATGTAATGACCTCACAGCTGTTGAGAATCTCTACTCTAAAAGTGAAGGACTCCCAGTGAAGGTAGCTAAATTTCCAATAGCACATTCAGCACTGAGCAGATTGCCCAAGTGTGTTCAGGAAGGAAAAACACTGTATTATAACCAGATAAATTGAGCTATAGCATGACAAATTTATCTGGGACAGCATAACTGATTGCATGCCTGATAGCATAGCTGGGATAGCCTGTCACCCTGGTACAAAGTGAATGGCAGTGAGGTTAGGCTGCATATTCCAACAAAAAATACATCAAGAGTAAGGGAACAGACAGTAGTCCAAAAGCAGTCCTAAGCAGTTTCTAAGAGTCTTGCATTACAGTCTCCATTTTCTTGCATTTCTCTAAACTGCAAAAACTCTGGCTTCTGTATCCAAACCTTATGTGTCCTGATGCTCCTTCTTGAAAGCTACCCCTTCCTCCATGCTCAGAACTTACATTTGCCAGAGCCCCCAAGGACAGCTCTTTTTCATTCTTGATCCACCCAAATCCTAATCCTTACTGTTTTTTCTTTAAATCCTAGCTAATAGTTTCCTGTTCAAGATGTTCTAAAAGACCCCCCAGAAGTCAGCATTAGGCCACTTTTATCCTTCTGTCCTCTGGAGATTTCAAAAGTACTCCTAACACCTCTATTTGTCATCAAAGTCCTGCTCAACCTGCTGCAGCCACCTAATCCCACCCCCTCACTTAGGAGACTATCCCTAACCCAAAACCTCCTCAACTTCTTGTGAAAACTGTTCTTGCCCACACTTCATCCAAAGTAAAAGTTAAGAGCAGAGTGGGGGGAAATAATTGCAGGAAAACATCTGTAACTTTAACCTCACAACAAGTAACAAGATGTGCTAAAAAAAACCCCAAACTCAAAGAAACAAAAAATTATGACTTTTAAAAATTCTTTTGACACCAACCCCCCAGTTGAAATTTTTGCTTTTGCTTGTCTTCTAGTCATCCCTAGC